AAGCTTATTTGATGTGAGAAGTAGAAAAGTTCCTTTTCAAAGTTTCCTTTCTTGTTGAAGAATAAGTGCACTAATAACTTCGTTAAGCCCTATCCTATGTAGCTGTCAGACGTGCCGTGCTTACAGGCACGTAGCACATTCCACGTCCTTGTACTTTAACCAGGATATCTGTGCTGGACGTGCTCACAGGCGTGTCCCAGCTCTCCATGGCTTTTACCTGTTTAGAAAAGTTTTAAAGTTGTTAGCCAATTGGGTTTTAGATTGTGAGGTCTGGCTCCAGCCCACAGTGCCCAGACACAGCAGTGAGGACGACCCCAGTGCGTCAGGGAGAAATGTGTGTGGTTCCTTTATTCATTGTACTCAGTGCTCATTTCTCTTTGCGGCAACGAGCATCTATTTCCAACATCTATTTCCAATATTTGGTATGCTACATTAGATGGAAAGCTTGTCAAATAATGAGACACTGAGTCTTCTAGGGGTTGTATCCATAGGCTTGTTTTTGATATGAGTACTACAGAAATGATAGAAAATCCCCAGAAATCTGATATGTTATCCTATGATACACATTCTGTCTCACGTTATTCCTGGAAATCTCGCACAATGTTATCAGTCATAATTTTGGTTACTATATTAAAGTGCTGTATGCCACAGAAATAACCCAGTTTCCTTGGCGACTGTGTCATTCCTGTAAGAAGCTCTCACCAGAGCCATCGCCCGGGCTCTCAGTCTTTGGTCATTCACAGTGATTGTCTCACTTTGACTTTTTTCTGAAAGCTTTGCAATCAGCCGGTTCCAAATGGCTTCCTCTTCAGTGACACAGGCTTCTGGTTAAGATCACACCCTTGAATTGAGTAAGGGTTTCCAGAACTCGAATGAGGAACCTGGCAGGCCCACGAAGCTGCTATCCAGGATCAATCAGAGCAAGAACTAATGACATGGGAATGAATGAACCTACGAGGATAATGACTTTTATCTGAAACATTACAGTTCTTTAATATTTTGTTTTCCAGATTTTAGAAAACGCTTTTTTTTTTTTTTTTAAGGGTCTTGCTCTGTCGCCCAGGCTGGAGTGCAGTGGTGTGAACACACCTCATTGCAGCCTCGAATTTTCGGATTTCCAAGCTCCAGTGATCCGGCTGCTTCAGCCTCCCAAACAGCTGGGACTACAGGAATGTGCCACCACACGTGGTGAATTAAAAAAATTTTTTTTGTAGATTCAGGGCTTTGCTATGTTGCCCAGGCTGCTCTTGAACTCCTGGGCTCTAGCAGTCCTCCTGCCTTGGCTTCCCACAGCCTGGGACTGCGGCCATGAGCTGCCGTGCCCAGCGTGGGCCGAGCTGTCTGCAGAAGGGCTGCTGGGGAGATTTCTCTGAAGTCTGTATCAAGTGGGGCAGCTTCAGGGAAAGGGCGGCTGTAATCTTCAGTGATTCTGTGAGGAAGGGTGGGAGGAAAACTGGAAATGTTGGTTTCATGACCTGTAGGCAGGTATCAGAGGAAATGTGTTCAGGACCAGCCCAGGTCACAGGTAGGTGGCAAAACCTCCAGACTGTGAACCGGGCTGGGATAGAATATTGGGGGCACTGTCGTTTTATTTTGAAACATAATTTTACTCTCTACAGTCAACACATTTCTTTTTTTTTTTTTTTTTTGAGATATATCTCACTCTGTCACCCAGGCTGGAGTGCAGTGGCACTATCTCAGCTCACTGCAACCTCCGCCTCCTGGGTTCAAGTGATTCTCCTGCCTCAGCCTCCCGAGTAGGTGGGACTACAGGGGTGTGCCACCACGCCCCGCTAATTTTGGTATTTTTAGTAGAGATGGGGTTTACCATGTTGGCCAGGCTAATCTAGAACTCCTGACTTCAGGTGATCCACCTGCCTCGGCCTCCCAAAGTGCTGGGATTACAGGTGTGAGCCACCATGCCCGGCTGCAAATTAACAAATTTCTATCAAAGATAATAAAAGATTGATTTGTTTGCAGAATAAGTTTGGGCTCATTAAACCTGGCTGGGTTATTTATGTGAGTGGAAGAACACTGATTAACCACACAGGTTCTTTCTCGGCTTTTGTTTTTCAACAGGATCTCGCCCTGTCGCCCAGGCTGGAGCGGTGGCACCATCATGGTTCCTCGCCGCCTTGACTTCCTGCGCTCAGGCGAGCCTCCGGCCCCACCCTCTGGAGCAGCTGGGACTACAGGCATGTGACGCACACCTGGCGAATTCGGTTTTATTTTAGTAGAGAGAGAGTCCCACGGTGTTGTGCCTGTGGGGTCCGGCCCTACGAGGGTCAGGGGGCGTCCCCTCTCACCGTGCTGAGGCGCTGGATCCCAGAAATAAGGAACAGCACACCAAGAGACCGGATAAGAGCAGCTGGGCTAGGGGGCCAACGCCACTTACAAGCGGACACAGGCGAGGCCCTGAGCGTCCAGGCGCGTCTGTATTTACTGGGTATAGGTCTGGGGGAAGGGGAGTGAGTGAGCTCATATAGTGATGGGGTCAAGACAGTCATGTGAGCAAGAAGCAAGGGCCCATCCTCGTTAGGTCACCGAGGCCAGGAAGTGGGTGGTGTGCAGCGAGGAGGGTGGCGTGCAACACCTCTTACCTAGGGGCAGGCCCCTTCGAGGGTTTTCCACAGTCAGCACAGTGGCAAGAGCTGACAGTGCATACAACCAGGCGCGATTATGCAGTTGTCCCGGAGCGGTTTTCAGCCTGGACGCTCGGGGCCTCGCCTGTGTCCGCTTGTAAGTGGCGCTGGCCACCTAGCCCAGCTGCTCTTATCTGGTCTCTTGTTCGCGGGGTTGCCGGCCTGCGGCCAGCTTTCCACAAGAATTGGACACAAGATACTGCAACTCCCTGTCAGGAGGAGTGACTCTTGCTCCAAGCCTGCCGTACAGCAGGTATCTTTATGATACTGAACGCTGCCGCCTGGGCCGGCCTGCCAGGTAGCGCATGCCCTCTCAGGCAGGGGCGCTACCGCCTGGGCCACAGACTCCCGTCCTGGTGTGGCTGTTTTTCCCTAGCTGTTTTGCCTGCACTGTGTCTGCTCTTGACATCCGCCGACTACAAACTAAGGTGTGACTACGTAAAAGGATTAAATAGATGAGCAGTCAGTTCTTCTTCGAGGTCTGCTTAGCTCTCCTTCCTCGGTGCCCAGAGGGATTTACTCACAGCGCTTCCCAGGCTCAATTCTCAGGTGGGATCCTCCCACCTCAGCCTCCCCAGTAACTGGAACTACAGGCATGTACCATCATGTCCGGCTAATTTTTTGGTATTTTTTAGTAGAAACAGGGTTTTGGTTGCCATGCTGGCCAGGCTGGTCTTGAACTCCTGGTCTAAAGTGATCCACCCACCTCAGCCTCCCAAGGTGTTGGGGTTACAGGTATGAGCCACCTCACGTGGCCCAATCTGTCTTGTTCAAGGGTCTCAGCCATGAATCTTGTGACAGGTGAGGAAAAGATAAGACTTCTCCCTGCTACAGAGAATCTCATGAAGGTGCAGCTCCCAATAGTGGGCCATAGTCACTCCCGGGGTCGTGAGGTCCTCCAGCCAAGGAGCCCCTGACCTGAAATAGGGGGCGATGATGCCCTGGGCAGCCCACGGTTCGGCTGCTTCCTCCTCCCAGCTGCTCTGTCCGACACACCAGCTCTTGGGCAGTGCCCCTGCCCCACGGACTCCAAAAGCCAGGACAGCTCCAAGCCCTCTAGCTCAGCTGAGACAAGGGCAGAGCCCCCTGGGCCACGTGCGGTGGGCACCTGAGTGTGGCTGCGCTCTCCCTTCAACACTGACTCCTACACCCTCACAGCTGTGTGTGCATGGAGGGGAGTCTCTGTGGGGACCAGGGGCTGTCCCACCATGGTCATCAGCAGCTGCTCCCATGGGACTCTGGGAGCCTTGTCTGGACACTGAAAAGACTGCAGAAGGCTCAGCTGTCCTTAGGAGCAGCCTCCCACCCCTGGGTCCACAGGAGGTGCCCCCACCCAGCTCAGCACTGAACCCAGCCTGGATGCCTGGGTGAGGCTGCCCGCACCCTTTGGACAGGACAAAGTCTCGACCATCAGAAGCCACAAGCCAGATGCTTTCCCACCAACTGGTGTAGCTATTTATAGTGCAGGGGGGCAGTGTACCAGGCAAGGAGCACCCACTGAGCCCCTCCTCTCCCCACTGAACCCCACTGCTCTCAGAGGCCTTTGCAGCCCCCACTGAAGCCCATCCTAGGGAGGCCCCTCCCCTCACGGTGTCCCCGGCCACACACCAAGTCTCCAGCCATCTCACTGACTCCCACCCCTCACTAAGCTGCCTCTCAACAGACCTGAGTCAATCCCTGCAGGCACCTGGAGGTGTGGGGACACTGCCTGCCTTGGTTATGGAGGAGTCTACTGAGCTCACAGCCCACTCACTCCTGTGTGCAGACCAACCAACCCCCCACCCCCCCCACCCCCCCACCCCCGCCCCCTGGCTCCAGGCAGGTCTGCTATGTGCCTGCCCAGATGATACAGCCCACCCCACCAATTCCTGCACCCTTTGACCTTTAAGCTGGGCTACCTGGCGCTGGAGGACCCCTGCAGAGTGCCTGCAGCCCCTACTCCTCAGCCCGTCTTGGGGTAACACCCCTACGGGAGGCCCTTGGGAGACGGCCCTGAAGATGCCCAAACCCGCTGGGAGGTGGCCTGCCAGTACGCACAGGTCCCTCAGGTGGGAGCTTCCCAGCTCACAGCCAGAGGCTGACGGCCCGGCGGCTCTTCGGGTAAGGGGCCCAAATCCCTCCAAGGACCAGCCCTCCCATGCTCAAGGTGGCTGCCCTGAGGCCTGCTTGCCCAGCTCCAGGATTGCCTGCTGCCCAGGGCTCCCTGGAAGCAGCAGGGAACCCCACCCTTCTCAGCCCCAGCAGCGGCCTCACAGTGGGACCAGGCCAAGGAAGGCCAGGGAGCCAGGCCAGCCCCCAACAGGAAGTGAGGTTGGGAGGGGTTCAGCCATTTCTCACACTCAGACCGAAGTCTGGCCACACAGTTCAGGCACACACCATCGGGGATGCGGCTGCTTGGAGTTTATTTTCCGCTTGGTGCCAGGTGCACAGTTCCAGGTGTCAGGAAAGCTGCTCAGGGCTGGGGCGGGCCGGGCGGTGGAGAGCCGGGCCCTCACTCCTTTTTGGTGTCTGCTGTGTGGATGTGGAGGTCTGCTGGCTGCAGCCGCCTAATCTACGGGTGGGCGGGGGGGCCTGGGGGTTGGGGGGCGGGAGGGGCTCTGGTGGCCTAGCGCCTCCGCAGGTCTGGGGCTGGTGGTCATCGCTCAAGTCAGGACGGCGGCCCAGCGCTGGCTGTGCTGGGCTGACCACCAGGCTGCTTCCTCAGGGCGTCCTGAGCCAGGCCACGGGTGGTCACGCTGCGGGAGGCCTGGGGGGGTTCCGGGTGCTCTGCAGACTCCAGCACCGTGGCCATGAACGGGAGGGTGGACTTCCCGAAAAAGAAGCTGGCCCACCAGTGACCCGGGTCAGCCTTGGGGATACC